TAACACTATTGACAGCCCGGGCAGTCAATAATAGACAGCCTTTCTTTCTCACCATAGTAGGATCGAGTTTAATTTTGCTAGGATACTATCGTAGATTAGGGCTAAAACAGAAAATCATGAGGCTTTCATTTAATCATTTCAGCGCGGGCTACGACAGTGTCGTAGCAAAATGTGGGTTGGTGATGATCGGTCCCGCCAAATCGACGTATCTCTTCAAGCGCCAGATCTGTCTGCGGTTATTGGTTTTGGGATAAAGATTTTAGAATTAAATAACATGAATAATAAACGGAAAATACAAAATTAAGTAATAAATAAAAAATAATAAGAGAGAGAGAGAAAGACGGAGAAACAGGCGCCATGGAATTGGAAACTCGAAGGCGAAGTTTTCTTGTTTTCTTTCCGATTTTTCGTCAATGGCTGCTGCTTCTTCTTTCCGTCGTTGATCTTCATTCAGATATCTAGGGTTTTTCTCTGTTTGATCACGTCCTTGCCTTCTATATTATTATTTTCTGTTATTTTATACCACGAGAGCGCCCATTCATTCGACTCTTTGATTCTTTGGTGTTTGAGCTGAAAGCGATAGCGTGGTGGTTGATTTGCAGAGAAGAGAAGTTCAATGGGTTGTGGTTACTCTTAAAAGACGTGATTTTCTAATTGAGCACTTGTTGAATTCGATTCTTTCTCTATCGCTGCATGCAAATCCGCCACTAATTTGTTTTCGGAGGAATTGTTCCACTGATTTCGATTGGTTGCGACGGATAGAATTCTATTTGTTAACTGTAGCTTCTTCCTGAGGAATTCGAGCATTCCTTCTTCTTCTTTCTTTGTAAATTTGCCATTATTGTAGCATTTCTGGTTAACTTCGTTTGCGTTTAGTTTCTTTACCGATTGAATTTGCGCTCGACCTCGTGAAGGAAGAAAGCAAGCTAGAAGATCCGGGAAGTTCACTGTTTTTTCGTTTTCTTTACCGTTTTGATCCTTTTTCTTTTTCTGGCAGAAGCTATTGAATCTCCTGTCTTTCGAAAAAGAAATCAACGAAAATGAAATTGCAATTGGCTTCTATATGCATTCTTACAGAACAGTTGGCGTTGCTGGTTGCGATCACTGAATGAGCAAGGAAAAGAGAGTTATTATAGATATTGGAGTTCTTTTTTGCGGTACAGTTTCTTTATCCTTGAATTGGAATCGTCTCTCTGGTCTTCTGGAGATCTACTTTTTAGCCGTAATTTTTCAACTTTCTAATAATTTTGGGAAGATAAACCTAAAAAAAAGGAACTAAGGATTTGAGGCTTTGCACTTTAAGCAATTAGAGGGGCACTTCTCCAAAAAGGCTGTCTTTCATGATATCTAGAAACTTTTCCTCTCTTCTCAGAGATAAAGGGCTTAAAGATAGGATCAGATTCAATGCGGTTTTGCATTTTGAGGAACCAACTAGATGCAGACATTGAAGGGGTTAATCATCTAGGTTTGTTTCTCTGTTCCTAATCAGGAGTGAATAGCGCAAAGGAGAAAGGGGAATTCAGATTTGTTTCTGACGGATCGTCAGGTGAAAATAGGGGCTGTGGGTGTTTGGCTGGTCTGGAGTGCCTACTGAATATAATCAGGGCCCTCAGGATGGGGTCCTGCTTGTCGGTGGATGGGAGGAGCCCGCTCCCTTCCTCTCCGACAACCCCCGGGAAGAGGAAGAACTTGCGGAAGAGGCCTGGGATGCGGAATTCTTCATTCGATTCGAGGAGGGAAGAACAGCTGCATAGGATTCCTGGGAGAATGTTCATTAGTGGTGCTAGCGATGTGGCTTCTCTCTTTACCCAACAAGGCAAGAAAGGAGTCAATCAGGACGCCATGATCGTATGGGAGGTATGAACCTTACCATCTTAACATGTAGGGTACTATCATTCCACAGGAAATACTTTTCTATTTTAGATGGCCTACTCTAGGTTCTTCAGTGTGTTTGGATTTATACTCCTCTTGAATAGAAGCACATTAAAGAGGGATTTGTGTTCTTGTGCTTCCCAGATATTGTTCTCAGTGAGTGTTAAAGTTTTTGTTTTTGGTAGATATCAATATACCTTTCTGATTCAAATATCTGATATTTTCATCATCTTATGATGCAAGGGTTTCATCTAATTATACTGTGGCTAGTTTCTCTTAGTCAATTTAACTGTTTAAAAGTTTTTCTTGAGGTTCTTTGAAATCTTTTGTATTTATGTTGTCATTCTTTTCTTGGATCTTGTTTGGACTTTGGTGTTAGATAATTTCTTTTCCTGCTTTCAGAGTGATGGCTTTGTTCAGAATATGGTCATATTCTTTTATCACATTTATTTTTGATAATTTGATCACTGTTTTGTTTTTTTTTTTGGAAAGATGGAGGTTTTTACCCATTATAATGTGTTGCAATCAGCCTAAATTATATTTCTTCAGATATTAATTAATCTCAACACTCCTTATATCATGATAGAAATCATGTCGAGTCTTATAAAGTTGAAACTTGAAACTGGATAGATTTCTGAGTGTAAGTACTATTGTGAATGTTGTAGTAGTTGAATCTGTCATAGGAAGCATCTTGAAGTGAAATAAATTGCACTCTTCTGCCCTTTAGTTCCATATTTCCTTATTTTCTTTATATGAAGAATATCCCACTTTGTTTCTGTTTTAACCATCCAACTTTTTTCCCTTTAATTTGGTATTATAGTACATACGAACAAAGTCAAGTATATAAAATTATATATTAAATATAAAGGATGTGATTTCCTGTGTGCAGAATTTTGGTTCAAGAACAGACACTGTTTTCTGTGGTGTTTTTGATGGCCATGGTCCCTATGGCCACATGGTTGCAAGAAGAGTTAGGGATTCTCTTCCTCTAAAGCTAAGTGCCCACTGGGAAGTAAATATACGAAGCGAAGACGGGTCTAGAGAAATCAGCAGCAGTGTCATGGGAAGCATGAGCTCTGAAGAAACGTCATATATGTATACAGAAGAGAAATCTAGGATCTCTGTGGATCTTGAAGAAAAGAAGCATCCAGAGATTTTTCTTACATTGAAAGAATCATTCCTGAAGGCCTTCAAAGTTATGGACAAGGAACTGAGATTGCACCCAAATATTGATTGTTTCTGCAGTGGCACAACAGCTGTCACATTAGTGAAGCAGGTGATATGCATCACAAACATGACTTCAATAGATTGCAGTTATTGTTCTTATTGTATCCTGAATGCCTTTGATGTCTTTCATAGGGTCAGGATCTTGTTATTGGAAATGTTGGAGATTCTAGAGCTGTGCTGGGTACAAGAGATCAAGACAACTCTCTTATTGCAATTCAGTTGACTGTCGATCTCAAACCAAATCTTCCAAGTATGTTTCTTCTGTGAAGGCAGTTTAGTTCTAACATATATCTGAAACTATACCTGTTTTGTTATCCCCCCAAAGTTTTTCTATTAGCCAGGTTAAGGGTGATTCAAGAATTAGGCATTTACTAAAAACAAAAAACACATAACCATTAAATTTTGCAGTTACAGCATCACTGTTGTATTTTTCATTGTGTGAAATCATCTCTGCTTTCAAATTCCTTGTCATTCTGAACAAACTATTAACAGCTCTCTTAAGTGACAATTCAAAATGGAAGATTAGGTCAAGAGTATAGTCATATAGATAATATGGACATTTAAAGTAGACATTCTGGAAACTGAAAGAGGCTTGCATTTCTCTAATTTCTGTAACTGTTATATAACATGAAATTTCTCCAAAGAGAAAAGATATGAAAATTCATTYTCATCCCTTTATAACTTCTAAATTGCAGTACCATTTTGGGGAATTATGGGAATTTCTCATTAAATCTTCACCAATTATTCTCCAAATCCTGTTTCATTCTTGGTAAAAGGCTAAAAAACACTCTCATGTACATAAACAAAGTATTCATGTCAAACTCAAACACATAAAAACCCCTTTCTTGAAATAACAAAAACTATGGTTATAACAACAGGACACCTTGACATTACTGTTATAATGGGACGAAAAACTTTTAGTAAGCTTTGTTAAAATATTGTGATGAAAACTTAATAATTATTAACAAACTAATCTGAAATATATCAGAAGCAAAAGGACTACAGGAATGGCTATCTTATCTATAAGTATTGGTTAACAACGGATGATATTATCTGGTGTCAATTAGTAACAACTTGAAAGTCCAGGCCTTTGACTGTTAAGATTCCATTATTAACTGTTATATAGGCCTTCTAAAAAACTGTCAGCCAACAAGACCTGATAAGTTGAGTTTCTGGTGATATTTGATATATCAATTCAACTTAAATTCAAAAGTTACTGTTTCTCATTATGTCAATACTTCGCAATATAATGATAAGTTTTTCATAAAGCTTTTGTAAGTTTAAATTATGAGAATAACATCTCAATAAAACGTATAGAGGTGTTTGATAAATTAGGCTTTCGTAAATGTAAGAATTCCAGCCATTACGCTTGTGATGTTTTTGTTGATATTCTTGTTATGTTGCTAAAAAGTTCACTAGATCCATGTAATGAAATTGAGAAGAAAACAGAGAAAATAGTCTTTAAACTTATGATAAAAAAGTACTTAAACTATTCTGTTTCATTTTTTAAGGGGAAGCAGAGAGGATCCAGCAATGCAAAGGGCGGGTCTTTGCCCTTCAGGATGAGCCTGAGGTTGTTCGAGTTTGGCTTCCAAACAATGACTCCCCAGGGTTGGCAATGGCCCGGGCTTTTGGGGATTTCTGCTTGAAGGATTTTGGTCTGATCTCTCTACCTGAGATTTCTTATCGACGCCTCACCGAGAAGGATGAGTTTATAGTTCTTGCAACAGATGGGGTAAGATATACTGAATTACTTGCAACTTCTTGGAAAAGGACCACCTTTGACTATTTAAGGAAAGGTCAGCTAAGCTAATGGTTAAAATTGTATTTACCTATTGCAATTGGCTCTTAAATCTCTCTCTCTCTCTCTCTCTCTCTCAAATATGGTCGTTCTTAAATCTCTCTCTCTCTCTCTCCCCAATAGTCAATGTTCCTAACTCTAAACCCCTTTTGGATTGAGTTAGGTTAAAGGCCAACCCAAGACAATCCTAAATATGGACCCTAGCCTAGACCCAAGTTGATATCAAAAGTTCAAAACACAAATTTGCCAACCCAAACCTAACCAATCTTTCGTTTAATGCCACGTATTGCATAAGTTTACTTGCTTGTTCTACTGGTACCAAATCAATCATTTAACCAGAAGTATCCAAGTCTAATCACTGTTGAGCCTGCATGTGCATCTGCTCTAGAACAATTAGGTTTGAGAGGATTGGTCACACTTCAAACATAATTTGCTTGGTCTGTTTCTTTTGACAGGTTTGGGACGTGCTCTCAAACAAAGAAGTGGTAGATATTGTGGCTTCTGCGCCAGTGCGGTCCTCAGCAGCTCGGGCTCTGGTCGAGTCAGCAGTTCGAACCTGGAGATTTAAATACCCAAACTCCAAAATCGATGACTGTGCAGTTGTCTGCCTCTTCCTTAACAAYGACTCTAGTAGTTCATGCATCTCCAATTCCAAGCCCAAAGGGCAGCCGACTTCATTGGATCGATCTGATAATAGGAGTGAGAACCAAGAGCCATTGATCCCAATTTTACTGGACTGATCGGGCACAGTGCCAACTTGCCCCGAGATCTTACCACGAGATGACGAGGAAGCATCAAAGCAGGAAACAGGGTCCATAAGAGATGATTGGTCTGCTCTCTTGAATGTGTCGCGCGGGTGAATACAGTCATACACTGTTGACTCTACCCAGGTTCATTCCTGGAAAAGAGGATCTGAAGATCTGAGAATGACCAAGGGAGAAGGGAGTTTGGTTTCAACGTGGTTTTCTTTCAATTACTTCAATAATGTTATCATCACCATTGTCATATTTTTTATTCATGAGTTTCTTGTTTTACAGAAAAAAAATGATATTTG